GAGAACAATTCGTTGTAGATTATAACGAACTGAAATACGAAAATTTGAATGGCATAGTTTTGCATAGTTTGCGGGTTTTTGCGTGAAATGCATATTAGACGGATTTTTGCAATTTAATTGTTATTTAGACCATATTTGCTCGTTTTCTTATGTACTCGTATTATATGAATTAGATTTATTCTAAAGGTTAACTTTTTTTTTTTTTTAACACTTTTCACAATAGCCTAATCTTTTTTCCATTCCATTGTATGATAAGAAGACGAAGAAAAATTAAATCGATCATACAGAGTTATATTAAAATATTTTAGACTCATAGAGTTATTTTTATTAAAAAAAAATATAAAAATAAAAATTGACTTCAATCAAATAAATCTAATTAAAAAAATAAAAAAAGTGTTTGTTATTATAAAAAGAGGCAGTTGCATATTTGTATGTATATTTCGGTTATTATAAGTGCACAAGTGTATGCGTGTTTCTTAAAATTATGAGGATAAGCCCTGAACCTTAGTTTGACTAATTAAATTTGGTGCCTAATTGATTATATAGCGACAAAATAATTATTTGTAAAGGCCACTAATGAAATATTTGTCCAAAAACTTATATAAATATTTATATAAGTACTCTTCAGATTGAGGAACATCCGGACTACCTATAGGTACCTTTTTTTCGATTTCACCGGCTGTATAATATTGTTTATCCTATGAAATTAATTAATTAATAATTAATTTTGTAAATAACATTGAGAAACTTCGTGCAGGGAAGCGCTGTCTTATCACCATAAATATAATTACTTTGAAAGGAGAAATTATAGAAAAATATATTATATATTATATAAAATTATAGGAAAATTATAGAATCTCGAACACAAGTGTCGATTGACATATGTCATAGTTATTCATTATTCCTACAATGATACAATATTTTTCTTTCTAATTGTGTACCTTATTGGAATCGTATTAATTATTTCAATAATCGTAACGTACGCTCTTTGTAAATGTTGAGCTATAATACTTTTTACTAATAGTTAATAAAAAAAAAAAAAAATTTAAAAATGATTTATTAAAATCTACAAAAATTTCATAAAACTAGAGTTCCGGATCGTAAAGAAGTTATCGTTAAGAAGACATTAACAAATATTTTTTTAAGGCATCGTTAAAGATAGTTATATTATTATGCTTAATATATAATTTTTATACTTCGATACATTTTCAGAAACTGTCAACATTTCAAGAGGTTTTGAAACGATAACTCTTATATATGCGTACACCCTAGTGCTCGAAAGAAGTGCTTTTATTTTCAAGAAATGTTTTTCGATCAACTTCAAAATAAATTCAATAAGATTATTCATGGAAAAGTGTTATTTTCGAGTGATATTATAATGGACTTTATTGATTAACCTATCACTCAATATATCAGACCTGTCTAAATTTTTGTATTTTCGTTTAATAACTTTTTTTTTCGCTTTTCAATCATTGACGACCCCGGTTTATCCCACCGAGTACTGTTTATTGCAATACTTCAGGCGCTGCCGCCATCGTTTTTTTAATAAAATCAAACAACTTTATAATACGGGTATAAGCTTGTCACTACCAGCCGCGCATTATGAACAATAAAGACGGTGGTGGTGAATAGCTTATTAATTTTAAAAATGATTATGAAATAAATTGCTTTTGAAGTTTATAATCTCAATTTCATGCTCAAAAACTTTAATCAACTTTCGAGGATCGGAGCAAATAATTAAAAACGAAAATACGGATTAAAATTATCGTGCTTTAAAACTTAATTTCATAATAAATGAAGAAAAAAAAACAATTATTTTATAATAGAACCATTTGAAGTATTTTACAGAAATTTCCTTTTGTACTCATTACCATGCATTTCGACAAGGATTTTTAAATTATGCACAGTATTTTTTCAGTCTCAGTTGGAAATAATACATTTTTCAACGTCATTTTAGAGTATCGTGGAGTATATAATGGTTCGCTCAAGTGGTAGCGGCATCGAAAGTTAATGTCCATACGTTTGTTCATACATGTGATTTTTTTTTTCGTTCACCCCTGCGAGGGTGAAATATAATATCAATTATAATATCAGTTATAAATTCCCGGTAAGTGGCTCATATTAATATTTCATTAAAAATGTTTACATCTGCAGAAAGTTAATCATTATATTTTATGATACACTTTGATATAAAATTCAACCTTACATTATTCACGATCATTGTACGTTGTATTTGAATTTTTATTACGTAGTGTTCGAATTTAATTTAATTTAATTGGTTCTTGTGCTGAAAGTCGTTCAATGAATTCAATAGTTTGAAAAATATTTTTAAAAATGATAAACAATATCAAACAATAAATAGCTGTTACCAAAGAATATCAAAATATAAAAATTATTTTAAACCTATTTTTGATTTTTGTTCCAAAGAAATGGAAAAGATGAAGGGACATATAGGATAGAGAGTAGAGAAATGGGGATGATGGATATGGGATCAGATTGAGGAACTCCTTGAAAGGTCTCATGAACGCGTTGTATTGGAAAGTGTATCGGGATGGTCATTTGACCAAAATCAATCTCTTTTAAGGGTCGACCTATAGAATATTACAATGGTATACCGTTAGGTTTGGACCTTATAATTTAATTTATGTGTTCTGTGCGCGTATCGAAAGAGCAGTTTCTATTTTCTAGTCGGCCATATTCTAAGAAGTGTTGTAAAAGCAATACATTAGGCCTATAGTGCGATAGGACTTGTTAGTGTGTGCTAAGTAAATTAACATTATAGTGTGTGTGTGTGTGCCAAACATCGCGCCCATGATCCGTATCAGTTCCCCAATGTCATTGATCTTATAATAAACTATTGTAAAATCAATACCTACACATATCCACCCAAGCCGCAAACTGTATCGTTGCGGTGCACTATTTTTAATCGTATCTTATCTAACACAATTTTAAAATGTGACAACTTTGAATGATGCACATCATTACAAAATAAAATCGATACAGCACAGATGATAAAGGCTCTTCCGTTTTTTAAAACTAATTGAAAAAAAATTAAGCTTCTACTGTGGATTTTCGTTGATTGGTTTTGTCCTGCGTAGGTCGTGTTTTTAGCATAAGCTACCGGTGCAATGCGTTGTCAGGATAGCCGAATTTGATTTTAATCTGGTATAATATTTTGCCGATGAACGATACTTTTGTTATTTTTTCCCAAAGTTGTACGTCTGATTTTTAACAGAGGGACATATCGGTAGGCAAACAATACATATTAAAGCATAACTATGTGTACGCGTGAACATGTGACAAAACGTGCGCTATAATAGCATGCCTGGTATGTTATGCGCCTACGAATGCTATTATTATGTAGACGTTTCGGCGTACAGTGTAAGGAAATCGTGTTCAACTCGGATCGCGTGCCAGCCGAATCGATTAAGTTTTTAAATTCACTAGGGTATAATAATGAGCAAAAATAAAAAAAAGGGCGTATTGTATACAACAATTGTGTTCGATACTATAGAGGTGTGTATTTATGAGATTTTTGCTCTGAATTATTAAATTCATGGACGTATACTGTCGTTGTAGAACTAATGGTTTGCTCAGATTTTATAATTGTGAATTTGACCCGTCAGTACTACAATATTAATTTTTTTGCAATCGTGAACGAGCTGTAGGCACTGAAAGGGTTAGGTTAGTTTGTAGTCAATAATAAATGATTGTATATTCGACTTCGTACCATGTACTACACATACAGATACACTACTTAGTTTAATTTCTACAGAAAACCATATAGTCGTGGGACCCGAGACTTGAACAATGTGAGTTTTTTAATTATTTTTTTTTTAAATTTTATTTTATTTAGAAAGTGATTAGAAATTCTAAATGGAAACAAAACGTTTTCAATAAAATTTTGCCAATGACTTCATCCTGCGTTTTGTAAGATGATTAACCCGTTTTATATGTTGAAATGTTACGGGATCATATTTAAAACTAATTAATCTTAAATGGCTAATTGCACTCAATGGGACCGATTTGTAAACCAGTTTTTCGAATTGTATACCGATAGGTTTAAATCGCGTAATGACCAATCGGCTTGACACAGTTGGATAAGCATAACTTATTATTTATAAAACATGTATAATGTACTATATACGTTAATTACAAAAAAATTATAATGATTATAATAATATCTATTCAAATATTCATGAGTGAATACACTAACAATCCTTAACTAATAGCATTGAATTTCAATTAAATATAAAATATAAGTATAATAATTTTATAGATTTTATGGATTTTTGTGATTTTTTTCGTTTTGTGAAATAATAATAATATAATATTCAAATAATCGTACATTATTTTATTAAGCTCAATTTTTTTCTCGTATCAATAGTATATAAATATGAGGGATTTTATATTACGTTTTCAAGGCTTTTAATATAATAAAAATTAATTTTTTAAAGAAACTTTTAATAACACCCTAGGATATCATGAACATTTTCTATAAATAGCTGAAAAAAATATTTAAACATTTATACCAAGTATATGTTTTAACGATCATTATTTTATGAGTTATGAAGAAAACAAATATACAATTTTGTCGAAAACCAGTTTGCCGGTTTATCATGTACAGTAGATTTAAGTATTACGTCACCACGTTTTTTAACATTTTTGAATCCCTCATCCTCCGTTGTCAGCGTACGTCAGACAGTGAATCCCCCTCATATCTTTTTTTGCCACAGATCTTCTCCATCTAAATTCGTATATTCTTACGAATCGAACAATCGTCTTCGGTTATCAATATAACGATAATGTTTCGGTACGTTTGGGACGTTACGCGCGTCAATTGAAATCCCGATAGACGCGATGCTCCGACGCCGTGATTTGAGATTTAGCCCAACCCCATCACCGTCCGCGTAAGGTACCCGTAAGAATTCTCGACCCTTTACTTCCTCCCGCCCCCCCCCCCCCCCCCCCTGCGCTGTACGCTGACGTACTGTGCTCGGATGTTCGGTGACCGTATGCCGCGTAACGTTGTCGCCAGGGCGAACGTCGACGAAGACGACGACGGCGGCGGCCGGACCGCGATGGACGTGGAACTGTTCCGGGTGATCGGGCTGATGCGGCTGGTGCGGCCGGCGCGCGGCCGTACCGACCGGTGGTACCGGGCAGCGGTCGCGGGCCTGGTGCGGCTGGCGTTCGTGTTGCAGGGCACGCAGGTGGTCGGGCTGTACTTCGCGCTCAACGACTTCCAGCGGTTCGCCAACATGGCCGTGCTGCTCATCAGCGGTCTGATGAGCCTGTACAAGGGCCACGTGCTGGCCGCGAACGCGGCACGCGTGTGGGACACGCTGCGCGTGACGCGGTTCGCGTACGTGACGTGCAGCGGCCGGGACGCGGGCCGGCTGCGGCGGACCGGCGACGCGCTGCGGCCGCTGCTCCGCGCGTTCTACGTGTTCAGCTACCTGACGCTGGCCATGTGGATATCCATGCCGTGCTTCATGCACGACCGCGTGCCCATGGCCGCGCCCGACGGCACCGTGGCCGAGTACCGCATGACCGTCAACAACCTGTGGATACCGGTGCCGCCGGCCGTCTACAACGCGCCCGCCGTCTGGGCGCCGGTGTACGCGGTCGAGGCGTTCATGGTGTCCGCCAACGTGTTCGTCTGGGTGCTGTTCGACTGCTACCTGATCACCATGTGCTTCGTGCTCAACGCCCAGCTGCGCACCATGTCGGCCGCGTACGAGAAGCTCGGCGTCCACGGTCCGGCGGGTGAGAGAAAGCAATACACCTACCTGTGTGACCGTTCCTGCTGCCCGAAAACCACATGGTTTCGAGAAGCCCTATCGACGGGGTTGTATTCATTTTCGGTTTGCGATTGTAACCGTTTTTCGTCACGAAAAAAAAAAAAAATTAGAAAATTAACACCATAAATGGTGCGTCCCGTTGTTTTACCATGGTCAGATATATGGTTGCGAAGGGGGTTGGAGGGGGTGGAACACTTTCTTCGCGCAGTCGGCAATGCCGGTAGGTCGGATGCGTGTCGAACGAAACCGGTAATGGTACGTACCGTGATAATATTATAGATAAATACCGATCATGTGGAACGTACCGACATTTAATCAGGACCGGATTAAGAGTTTATCGGGCCTAAAGCCTAGTAGTCCAAAGGGCCCTTAATCCTTATAATATTTGTTACCGATAACTGAATTTCATTTCTTTAAAAAAGTTATACAAAGTAATTGATTATACCGAAATATTTTTAACAATTTTTAATATTTGTCAATTTTCGTTACATGCAAATAAACAATATTATTCTTCAAATGTAAAAATATAAATATAATATTTTAAAACTAACTTTACTCTCTTATTTTCTCTTATCTTGTTGGAACTGCAAAATAATTTCATCTGTATCTATTTGTTTTAGTAGAGTTCTCAATTACAGATATAAACAATACAATTATGAAAATTAAAAAAAATGTATAACCAAAATAAAATTTAAACTTTAAAGATTTTGAATTGGACTTATGATAGAAGGCTCTTTTGGAGCTTTAAATATTTTAGGGCCTTAAGCCTGGGCTCCTAGGCTCTGTGTTTAATCCGGCCCTGCATTTAATGCGATACTAATATCGATGTTCCATGGTGACACTTGGTGGCTTCAAATAAATTAAATACACCGAAATCACCGAGGAAATCTCACTGCCAATGTGTTCGATGTATCGAAAATTCTTTTCTATTAACGTATTGAAATGCAAAACAAAATACCTTTAACATAAATATTAATTTTTTTCCAACATTTCGTTTTAGAAATAATTTTATCGTACATAATATTCAACTCATATTTTCATCTCTCCAAATGGGCGTGAATTAAAAACTTGTGCATTTTTCATTTCTATAAGACCGCGAAAAGATGAAACATGTTTTTTAGCAATATATATTCAAGTATCGCAGGTTCAAATACAACAATAATTTATCATGTTTCACAAATATAATGTATCATCGATTTGAATTTATGGACCGAATGCTGGAATTAATGTTAAATAAAAACGTTGCAGGTGTTCGAGCGGAAAAAAATGAAATGAAATTGAATTATTACGATGATTTGATTGAACACATAAAAGATAGTCAACGAATAATGAAGTGAGCATATAGAAGCGATAGTGAATATTAAGATATTTTCTCGCGCAACGTTTTGTTGGAATCGTTCGTGTACATTAATCATTGAATGCTTTGCGCACTAATAATTTATTATACATATTATGCAAATACTGCAGATAAAGTCGTGGCTACAAATTAAATCTTATGTGCGTATTTTCACGCACGAAATTTACGACAGTCTGATTCTGGATGAACGATTCTATTGGGAAAATATTTTTATTTTCATTACTTTTGTGATTGTCACGAAAATAACGAAAAATAATAATAATAACAATAAAAAAAAAATCATCTCGGCCCGCTGGGATTGGATGGGTTACAACGATTCTATCAAACACATAAGTTTTTATTAGTTTTCAGCAAGCCACATAAACCCTAAAGTTGTTTCAACTATATTGGTTTTGTTTCATTTTACGTAAAGTAATTTTGACCTGACGAGGGTGCGATAAAATTGGTAGGGGTTGTACTGCGTAATAGTGATTGCTGTTGACACGATATAACAAGGTTTCGATCCCGGGAATTCCGCACAGTTTTCAAACATTTCCCCGGGGAACATCAGAGCGACAGCCGTTGCCGTGGTTATATCGAATTATGGGTAAAATTTCCAGGCCTGAGCACTTTAATGCCATCCCTTTGGCGGTGTTTGTTTTATGAATATATACATATATATGAATTCATATATAAAATAAGCTTTTGATCATCAAAAATAACTGCTATATATACAGCTTTATATAGCTTTGAGCGTTTCCAAGTTTCCAATTACGATGCGGTCCCTGGAAATCCGGGTCGCCTCTGACGTCAATTCAGCTACACAACGAACCACGCCCTCCGGAGCTCGTTCTGCAAAAATAATCAATGCCACGAGACGGTGTTGGGAGGCATTAAAATAAATTAATTGAGTGCTGAAGCGGAGCGTTTGAAGAGAAATAAGGCTTTTAATATGTACCATACGCATTCGAACATTGCTTAAAACAATATTTTATTAATTTCGTCCGGGGAAAATTGTTTAGAAATCTAATATTCGATTAATTATTGTTGTACTTTGTTGTATGTACCATGATTATTGAAATGCTTTACTCGTGTCGTTTCATTACATGATGTATGTACCACGATAGTGGTCTTACCTACACAAAACATATATTCAAGCCCTTTTCGAATTTGGTTTTCTGTTCAAAACAATAGCGTTTAAATATTGAAACTCAATGTAAATATAATTTACGAGTGATATAATTCTATAATGCTCAATTTATAATAGTGTACCGTACTGTTCATAAAACTGGGTCAATCAACAACTTGCGATCGTAAAATATAGCATGTAAAAATGAACAAAATCATCATTGATGATAAAATAAAATATATTTTTCATTAAACAGTTGACTCATAAGTAATGATATCGTACAATAAATTGTACGATAAGTTTCAATTTTAAGAAAAAAAAAATTTTTTCTGGAAATATGATAACATACTCATTTAAATGTAGAGAGTGGGTAATTGACTGATAAATTTTGTCTAATTTCGAACGTTCGTAATGAGAAAGTTGAAGACAATGTAACTTAGAAACAAATGTTAGCCCTTTTAAAAATAAAATATACCTATCTGTACCGACAAACTTCCAATCAGTCTGCACCCCATAGTTTCGTCTTCTTATAAGATGGTTGTGGAGTAATTACGAGATTAAATATTTTTATTTCTAATTTTAACTCTATACATTTTTATTTTTGTCACAGGAAATTGGACGACTTTTTCGACATTGTACGACCAGTGGTCCTAGTCCAAATAGTGAATGGATCATTTTCAGTTGTTACACTAATGTTTATCCTCTCATTGGTGAGTGTTTTCCGTTATACATATCTTATGCCAAAATAGGGGAATTGTTGGTCACATAAAAAATCGAAAAGTTATATGAGTAATTAAATAATCTATTGTTTCACGCATTGAAAACTTTTTTATAAATAATATAGTTTAATAATGATTTAAAAAATAAATTATGTGACTGCCACAAAATCCAAAATGAGATCTCAATGACCATTATGTTTTCACAGTTCGGGGATAATTTTTTTTTGTGATTAACTTGGACGATTTTTTGAAATAAAAACTGAATTAGTTTGAATTGAAAATTTATAAATATTTTGAAATCACGATCGAAAATTGTTTTAAAAAGGATGGTCTTTGATATTAAATACATCGCATGATTATTAAAAATAGGAACAATTATATGCATTTAAATAATAATACCACAATAATTAATGCAAAATTAAATAATAATAACACAAATCGTCTACAGTTATATAAAAAAATTATGCAGAAAATCGCACTGATTAACTTGTCTTTTTTGCATACAATGTAAATTTCTTGAAAATGTTCGCAACAAAATTAATAATTTTTTTTGTCATTCTCATATTTATTTTTTTTTGCATATTCTGTTCAATGCATTGATAATATTAGGAATTAATTGTACGGGTTTCAATGGTCATTTAACCAGTGTTCGATATTTTTAGTCGCATCTTGCCGAGAGCATTTTAGTGCCTAGGTATATTTTAGTAGCATAACAGCTCACGAATATTGTACGCCACGAACAGTGAGTTTAACTCGCTTATTATGCGATCGTTGTTTGAACTAGCGTCGACGAACATTTTTCCGCGCATCAATACATGTATACATTAACATAGTATATGCTGCACGAAGTAACGTGACGTGTTCCCGAATTCATGCATTCAGCAGCAAAAAATTCTTCTTATTCATGAAATCGTTGTTTAAATTTTGCTGATTTTATGAAAACGACATAGCACGTGAATATATATATAAAAAAAAAGACTTTTCTACATGGACTAATATAATTTGTTATCGCTTGAAAATCGATAAAAGAATTACTGTGTGTATTACATAACTACATGTTACGGTGAACGTAAACAATTTATCAGTTTTTGATTTGGGAATTTTTGAGTATTAATCTACCAATTGTTGCTCTGATCGTTTAGATTTTCATAAATGTGATTTTACGTTTAACACGATTTTCAGTTATATATTATGGGTTGGTCAGTTGTATCACCGCCATTTTTGAAATTTTCTGCCGGTTTCATATCGCTCACCATGCAACTGTACATCTACTGCTACGCATTCAACTACATAGAAACAGAAGTAAATAATAACGTTTCATTCCTTTGATCAACACTGTTTCTGACATTTTTATAATGTTCATGTATAAAAAACCATTTAACTGCAATTCTTTAATATTGTTACTTCTAGAAATGTTCGATGAATTTTGGATTGTACTGCAGCAATTGGACTGAGATGGATTTGAAATTCAAAAAAACCGTATTGTTGGCGATGAACTTAAACTCGGCTCATAATCGGCAGATGAAAGTGTCACCGACGTCCATCATAAATTTAGCGATGTTCGCTAGGGTAAATATTTTATTATTAAACTTTTAATTAATATTTTAATTTACATGTATTAAATAATATTAGAATTATTACCATCTGGACAATCGAGTCCTGCTGTGCTCGGCTACTTTTAATACAGAAGAAAAAAATGTAATCGACTTATTTTATAATTTCTAGGTGATGAACATGTCATATTCAATATTGCCTGTATTGTTAAATGTAAGTACTGGAAAATAAAATGCAGTGATTTGAATTTTTCGTACACACGATGTTAATAGAATTATAGTAAAATTAATGTTGATTTCACTAATAAATTCAATTGTATTTTGAATAGCATAAATCTACGTGTAGTTATGGTAAAAAGCAATTTATGTATTTCAATTTATTATTCTATTGCTTATACCAAAAGTAAAAAAAAAAAAAAAATAGAAATAAGATAATAAATGTATTGTGAATAATGAAAATAAATAAAGTTTTCAATCCGAATATATATATATGAATAAATATGTTTTCCTAAAAACCATACACACAACTTTTAATGTAAAAAAAAACCCGATCTATAGTGTGTATTTAAAATTCAAAAACAACAGAATTATCTGAATTCATTGGTAGAAAGAATGAATTATCAAAGTTTTCGAATTTTCCTGTTCATCGGCTCGGGGAAATGAAAAGTTTTCAATTTTCCAATCTAATGGATCCAAACTTTAACAATGATGGACGGCCTTTACAGTACGGAGACGTAATGCGGTTTAATTATAATTTATTATTACACAATTTCTCTTCAGCATAACCGATGTCAGGAACTTTTACATTTACCGATTTAATAACATTAAATGGGATATGGCAATCGCGGCTTTTGACGTCAGTCCAGGCAAACCCTCTCCTGCACACCATCGCCGCCACCGCTTTTATTCTGGGGAAACTCACTGGGTTTTCGACGAGAGTATTGACGTTTTATCCCCGGCAGAAATTCCACCTCTTTCACCCACAAGCTTTGTGCAAATATAGCTATATAGACCCTTTGCCCGGGATTTCGATGACCTGAATATTGCAGAGAATGTTCACTGAATAAAAACCAAAAATTTTTATAAAACTTCGAATGTCTTACTACATTTTAAATCGAATTAAAAATATATTTTCTGATTTGAGTAGAGTAGTAAGACAAAATCGCGATAATAACATAACACGCATAAACCATCTATGATAGTCAATAATTTACGTAATAGATATATTTTGTTATATTAGTGGTTGCCGCAATAAATTGAATTTAAAATTTGGTTCTGACTGTCGATTTAGAAAAGCCCCGCAAAATGCATTGAACTCAATAAATTAATAAAATATTACTATATGATAGTATGTCTACTAGTTCATCAATCGTTTTTATTTTAGAATATTTACCTAGTAAAAACAAATAAAAGTACAATAATAGTTATAACGATAATACTATCATATAACATCGAAATCACAATGTTTATAGAATTATCAGGGCCTGATTTACCAATTCGTGGGCCCAGTACAATTTACAATTTTGTCTCTTAAATTGTCCACCTCTATTTACTTTAATGCTAAAATAAAAATGTACGCATAATATATTTTTAATTGAATACTGTATATAATTAGTATATGAGTAGTTGGATCATAGAATAAAATTCTAGTGTTATAAATATGATTATTGTGTTTAGTATTTATTCAAACAATACAATTAACACATAAAAAAATAAACTTTTTTTTAAATTAGTATTTTTTATTAAATATTACACTTTTATATCAAATTAAATATTTTTACGTTTAATATTTTAAATCTAATTTTATTTCAGTTTTTGCAAATATTTTCTTGCTTTTTGTTTTGAAAAGTGGTCAATAACATCATCACAACTCAGATTTGCTGTGATAACACTTTAATTAGATAATATTCCCAGAGCGTCTATATTTTCTTGACTCAATGTAGATCGTCATATATTTTTAATTATTTATAATGAAGAAAATGATCGTTCACTGGCAAAAGCGTATTTAAAGAGGGGGGGAGGCGTAAATATATTAATTATTATATTACATATTAATTGTATACGGTTGAAGTCGGTGGGCCCCTTTTTCTAGTGGGCCCAGTGCAAATATCCCATTTGTCCTTGCATAAGTATGTCTCTGAGAATTATAGTTAAGTTCATATTACTTTTACTAATTAATTCAGTTGTATTTAAAATTAAGTATTCAATTTTCCGCTCTAACGGATCCAACATTAACCATGGGGACGGCCTTTACGGTACGTTAGCCTTCTGCGTTTTAATTATTATTTAATATTACAAGACGTATCGTTATCATTGTTGATGTTATGAACTTCCATATATATCCGGTATATTATACCGTTTAATAATGTTAAATGGGATACGGCAATCGCGTCTATGCTGTCAGTTCAAGCCCATCCTCTCATGTACACCATCGACGCTTCCAACATGGGCGTCTGTCAATTCTGAGAAAACTTGCCGGGTGTTCGACGAGAGTATTGACGTTTTATCCCCGGCAGAAATTCCACCTCTCTCACCCACAAGGCTTGTGCAAATATATCGCTATATAGACCGTTTGCCCGGGATTTCGATGACCTGAATACTACAGAGAATGTTCACCGAAAAAAAAATAAAAATTATTATAAAATTTCAGATGACTTACTACAGTATAAATCGAATTAAAAATATATTTTGTGATTCGAGTGGCTTGAATATTTAGAATATCCCCGGCAGAAATTCCACTTCCTACTCCCACAGGCTTAGTGCAAATACAGCCATAAACTTTGTACATATAAATTGTAACATTTTTACATTACAAATATTCATGCTGTTATCTTATCTGTTTCGGTATATAAATGCGATTCTAATGACGCGTCAGACGCGTGCTACCAGTGGCGTCATATTTAGGAGAATGGGGCGAGATAATTTGTGCGTTTACCGCAGGGTATAGACTTAAGCCCATAGAGATTACCTATTTCAAAGTTGGCATATCATCGAAACATAAATACGGTTTTTTAATACAACCAATAACATGTTGTATTTCAGGAAACGTTGACATTTAATAAGCGGGTTTTTATGTACAAACTACAAATCATATTATGTTTAGACTAGTTTGACGTTCTCATCCCTTCCCATTAATCGGCACTGGTATAATGACAATGCAACACGAGTATAAACGTACTACTTTGCTTTACTATTCTCGTCTGATATACGAGGTGAATAAACAATAATGTTATGGTTTTTATATCGACACCCAATTGAGTGTGTCTTATTAAACACAAATTTTTTAACAATGTAAAAAACATTTTGTAAGAAAGTCGTAAAAAAAAATAGAGACTAAATTGCGATATTATCAAAACACTCATAAACTGTCTATGGTAGTCAATAATTTACGTAATAGATATATTTTGTTATATTAATGGTTGCCGCAATAAACTGATTATGAAATTTGGTTCTGGCTGTCGATTTAAAAAAATTCCCTAAAATGCCTTGAACTCAAAAAATTTATAAAATATTTTATGATAACATGTCCACTAGTTAATCGATCAACTTTATTTCAGGATATTTAAAAACATTTTAAAAACATTTTAAAAACAAGTACAAGTACAATAATAGTAATAACTATAAAACTATTATATTTCATCGTAACAAAAATGTTAAGAGAATGATAGTAAGGTTCATATTGATTTTACTAATTACTTCAGTTGTATTTTAAATTAATTTTTCAATATTCCGCTCTAATGGATCAAACGTATAACAATGATGGACGGCCTTTGCAGTACGGCGACGCAATGCGTTTTAATTTTAATTTAATATCACACAAGGTCTCTTCATCACTGCCGATGTCAGGAACTTTTACATTTACCGATTTAATTAGATTAAATGGGATACGCAATCGCCTCTTTTGATGTCTGCCCAGGCAAACCCTCTTCTGCACACCAACGTCGCCACCGCTTTTGTGTATTCTGGGGGCATGTCAGTTCTGGGAAAACTCGCCGGGCGTTCGACGACAGTATTGACGTTTTATCCCCGGCAGAAATTCCACCTCTTTCACCCACAAGCTTTGTGCAAATATTGCCCGGGATTTCGATGACCTGAATATTGCAGAATATGTTCACTGAACAAAAACCAACAACTATTATAAAACGTTGGATGATTTGCTACAATTTAAATCGAATTTAAAATTTATTTTTTGATTTAAGTAGCATGAATATGTAGAATATAGTGTACTATAAGGCGGTAATAAGTATAAATTATGTAAGAATGAACGTCCAAAAATATAGTGATTTGTATTTTATTCATAAGTATCCGTGTAGTACATGTTTTATTTTTTAGCGATCTAACAATCAATTGATAAAGCTAAAAAAAATAATAGGGCGAGATTTCACCATTTGTAGTTTAATTTAAATCTCTTTGCAAAAAATGTTGAGAAGTTCTGGTTATCAGTATACATAGTTTGGATTAACAGTTTAAGCGTAAATTATGATTTATGTGGTTGACGAGAGATGGCAAAATTATCTTATGTACCAATTTTCCACGGTGCTGCTTACGAGCACAACACACACTTTTCGTTGTACTGTTGATATTCCGGTAACTGTACAAATCTCAAAGTAAAGCCAATCCTATAGATAACCCGCTTTGAATGTCAATACTTAACAGGTTGACTGCTACGTATACATTTTTTTGTACACGAACAAATCTCCATATTTGTATATGCAAATATTTTTGTACTGTCCAACAAATTTTAAGCGTTAATTTGCCAAAAATTCTTTTTTTTATGATTTTGTTTTTTTTTTGTTAATCGCTTATTAGGCATTTTCTAGTTCATATTTTAAAAATTAATGTTGTGTCAGATAAATGTACCAGTAGCCTACCAGAACATTACCACGTTCAATGCCACGTTCGATGCGTAATCGACGCGTAAAAATATACCTGTTATTTCAATTTTTCCTGAAATGTAAAGACAGGACTGAAGTGATTTTATTGTTATTAGTTTAATATATATTTTTGTACTACTAAAATTCATTTTATTCGATACAATTTTCTTATCTACTTCAGAAATATAATATTACTGTAAAATGCTTTAATGCGGTTCAGTCGTTATGTGTAATTTGTATAGTTTGATGTGTATGTCATATTTTTAAATTTCAATAGCTTATTTTATTATAATATTAATATAATATTACCGCAAAATGAATCAATGTCAAATTTCGGATTTACTTGATGATAGTGATATCTATTCAAATAGTTCACTTTCATGTTTCGACGACACAGACGATGATCTTGATTGGGAAAATGATGATATTGACAATCAAGATGAAAATTGTAGATCTGAAGAATCTGAAGAAGAAAATGAAGTAATAAGTGAGTGGATAGATATTCCTGAACAACCAAACATGAATTCAAATATAGTTTTTAATTAAAATGATGATATCGTTGGTATCAACTCAGACATTATATTAATTATGGTTTCATTAGTATAAGTGTGAAATTCCAAAATACATGTCACGAAATAGTTTTGAGTTGATACTTTCTATTCTACACGTGTTAGATACGAATAATAGAAAAGCACCTCCAAACAATCGTTTATCCAAAGTTCAGCCATTAATTGACATCTTAATAAATAAGTATAATAATGCCCTAATACCAGAAAAAAACGTGTGCATTGATGAATCGATGGTTCCATTTTTGGGTAATCTTTCTTTCCGCGAATATATAGCGAATAAAACACATCGGTATGGAATAAAATTGTTTAAACTATGTACTCGTGACTTTTATATATCACAGTACAAAATATATACCGGAAAGGAAGCCGTTCCTGGGCAACTTGTGAATTTGTTATGGAACTTATGCAACTTTACTTGGAAAGTGGAAGATGTTTATACGTGGATAATTGGTACACCAGTATTGATTTTGCAGAAAAATTGTATTTTTTTTATTTAAATTAAAACTTGAACTATTCGTTAAATCTTTATATTAGTAAATAAAACATTATTATAAGGTTTATAATATACCTACTAGAGATGTAATGTATATTCGAATAGGTCCGCCGTAAACAATTCAAATATTTGAATATTCGAATATCAGTATTCGATGCTACAATAGGTACCTAATATTATTAAACGTTTTGTGTTGCGCGAAAACATGAACGAATAATTTTCGTTACGTATTGTATTGTAGCATCGAATACTGGTATTCAAATACTCGAATAATTCCCATCATTGATACCTACAGCAATAAATGTAAAAAAAGAATTAAATGAAAGACAAATCAGTCCAAAAATATAGTAATTTATACATAAGTATCTGTTAGTATACGTATTATTTTTTGAGATTCAAAATGTCAACGGTTTTATAAAATACGTATTTATATTTTAATGATGTGCCGTCATTAGAATAGCTAATTTCTAGACTTTGGCAAATACATGATTCACACTCTACATCCCACAAAAAAAAAAAAAAAAAACTATGTGCCCCTGTACTATACATAATAAAATTTTGAATGTAGCAATGGGATTATGATACTTGTTCACAGGTCACATAAAAATGTAACAGATAATGAAAAGTTTTCACGACGATATCACGTTTTATCTTAAATGTGATTTTATAGTGCGTTTTTAGATACTATTGAAACATTTAATTTTATTTAAATGTCTGATACAATTATTCCAACATGTTCAACTGGTAAACTATTAACTGTTTGCTATTTTTGATATTTACAGTACTTATTAAGCAACACGTTTACACCATATGCGTGGAGCACCAACGAGTTGTTAGAAATACAAAAATAAAAAAATATTCAGATTAATTCGCAATTGTTATTACAGTTTTGTTTTTTTATTAGAAATTAAAAAAAGAAACATTTTATTACTTACCGTCTTATAGTAAACTATATTCTACATATTCATGCTACTTAAATCAAAAAATAAATTTTCAATTCGATTTAAATTGTAGCAAGTCATCCAACGTTTTATAATAGTTGTTGGTTTTTGTTCAGTGAACATATTCTGAAATATTCAGGTCATCGAAATCCCGGGCAATATTTGCACAAGGCTTGTGGGTGAAAGAGGTGGAATTTCTGCCGGGGATAAAACGTCAATACTCTCGTCGAACGCCCGGCGAGTTTTCCCAGAATTGACAGGCCCCCAGAATACATTTATTACGTTTGACAAAATTAAATGTAAATATCATCAACATTTGACGGAAAAATGCCTGTGTTTAAACTTAAAACGGGAACATTCCGTTTAAAATTAGTATTGTCAATGTTTTCTATTTGATAAAATATACACATGGATATGGATGAAATGATAATCTTAAACAATACGTTTTGTATAGGTAATACAATAATATATTTGTTATAACGTGATGGACTGCATTTGTAAGGTAGTGCACATTAGGAGGCACAAAGGTCAAATAATAAATTTACTACTGTAGACCATAATAAGATATACAATATTTAAATATACATTACTAAAAAATATGACTAACATAGAACTTCTGATATTTTTCTTAAAATACGTATGTTTTGCTATATATAACATCAAACAAGTTTTTCATTGATTAACATTCAATAAAAATGTATTAGATATAAAAAAATATTGACTATCAAAATGTTATAAAATTAAATTTTCAGTTACCAAATATATCATGTGCTTAACATTATGAGTTATTTTAATTTTTTTTATGATTAAATGATTTTTTAATTTAATATTTTACAAGATAAAATAATAAAAACAATTGATGGATAATTCAACTATATTATACACAATGTTATAAGTAAATAAAATATAGCTATATTTTTCTGGCCACAAGTATAAGTCGTGTTTATAGTATAAATATAACAGTAGCAACAATAAAAGCTGGTTGCTGGGAAATGTATATGTGAACTTAATTATTGATTCCAAATCAATTTGATATTTTTGATAGTTTCTATTGTTCAAACATATAATTTCGGTATCGCAGAATTCGCTATTGTAAATTATGAATTTCGAACATAACATGATTTCGGATAACAAGAGCCTCTCGGAGACTCTCAGAGAGCTGTTTGGGGACTTTGAAGATGAATCGGACGCAGAGGAGACGACGACTTTCGCCGTCGAATCTGTTCCGGTCCAGTCCAACAACATCCTGGCAGCGGACTTGCGAGCATCAGTGTGCAGCAAACGTAAACGCCAAGAGCCGGGTGACCCACGAGTTAAGAAGATACGCCTGCTGGATTCTGGTGTGGACACGGACTTGGAGTCAGACGATGAGAACCCGATGACAGTCGTCGTCAAAACCACCCCGATCCCTTCAAACAATGTCGTGGCAGCCGACCTGCGACGATCACCGTGCAACAAGCGAAAACACCAAGAACCGGATAATACATCGGAAAAGCAGATGCGCCTGACGGGTGCCGTCGATGTGAAGTCGATCAACGGCAGTGGTGACGTGGAACACACGCAGACCGTGGTGCCCGATCCGCGTATTTTGGACGGTTAATAATAAATTGTTTTTTATTCTTTTAAACATAACACACTGCGGCAATGGATTTTTTTCAATCAATTTTTATTTTTTTCATGGACATCTGCAGGGGCCGGCGATAAACAGCGATTATTAAGCGATTTGGTGTCGACGGCGAACAGTGATGATATATTTCCTGGCTATTCCACTGACAAGGAAGACTTTATCAGGAAAAGCATGCACCGGAGCAATCAAGACTTCGTGGTCCCGGATAAATCCGTCTGCATTGGTGACGTGAAGACCGTGTTTCAGTACAGATCGTGGCTGAACAACGAAGCAATCTCCAGCTATATGCAATTGATCGGAGAACGGGATCCCAACAAAGTCTACGTTTTCAATACATACTTCTACTCGCTGCTATCGTAAGTCGACGTGCACGTTTTAGTTCTTAAGCATATCTATTCTCATTATTTTTTTTTATTTTTTGTTTCATATTCTTTTTTTTTTATATTTTAATACTTAAGCATATTTTTTCATCCACGCAAACCGAGGATGTATTTAAAAATCAACTGTTAGTTTTTTTTCTCAAGATAATTTTCGAGATAATACAACTCGAACCGTTGTTTTTCACAGCACTTGCGGCTATGATGCCGTTGAAAGTTGGGAATTCCCGAAGGATCTATTCGATTACGATAGAGTCCTGATACCTGTCCATGAGAAGTTTCACTGGAGTCTAGTGTGTGTACATTTCAATGAAAAATCTATTAAATACTACGACAGTTTGAAGAGGACAAATATGCGGTGTGTAAAACTAGTTCTAGACTACTTGACGATGGCAAGTTGGAAAAGAACGCGTAATGAATTCAATAGCGACGAGTGGCAGCTATTTCATGCCGAGGATTGCCCGAAACAATTTAATTCAGACGATTGCGGAGTTTTCACTTGTATAAACGCGGAATACTTGGCCAGAGGAGTGAAACTGAACTTCAGCCAGAGCGATATACGAAAGTTCAGGCATAGGATATGTTATGAAATACTGACGAATCGCTTATTGTTCAGTCTGGACGATGTCTACACGTGATTGTTTATTGTTATTATTAAATTATGTTTAATTCATTTAAATTATATTCTTTTCTACTGGATGGTAACTATTTTTAGCGAAATAATTTCTCGTAAACAGACACAGGGCTGATAACGACGACTAACAAATTAATAATTTTGGTAATTCTGATTTAATGTGATGCGAATCAAGCAAATCACATACACTAGGTAAAATTATTTTAATATTATCGTCAACTTTGTGTTCAATAACAATTTGAATTGGTTTATAGGGGGACTTATAGGGTTTATAAGGAGACTTTTTATTTAAAAAAAATAACTTCCAAAAAATGACGGGGCACACTCAAATGTAAAACTCTGGGTATGATGTCAGCCCAGGCAAACCCTCTCCTGCACAGCATCGCCGCCACCGCTTTTGTGTATTCTGGGGGCCTGTCAATTCTGGGAAAACTCGCCGGGCGTTCGACGAGAGTATTGACGTTTTATACCCGGCATAAATTCCACCTCTTTCACCCACAAGCCTTGTGCAAATATAGCTATATAGACCGTTTGCCCGGGATTTCGATGACCTGAATATTGCAAAGAATGTTCACTGAACAAAAACCAAAAATTATTATAAAACTTCGAATGACTTACTACAGTTTAAACAGAATTAAAAATATATTTTTTAATTCAAGTAGCTTGAATATGTAGAATATACTTTATTATGAGATAATAATAATAATAATAGGTTTATTTCCATAAAAAGATAATATATTTTAATACTAGTATACCTAAGCTTAATTAAATTATTGATGGATCTCCACAAAAGCCAATGGCTGTGCTAGAAGAGAGAGTTCCTTAGATAATAATATGTGGTTAGAAACAAATTTTAACTATAAGACTCTAACAGATCTACTTAATTCAATATTAAATGAGAAAATAAAATTAATAAAATAAAGTATTAATGTAATTTTTATACATAGAATATTTCTAGAACAATAACATTTGACTTCGATTTAAGAATAGTTAATATGACTTTGTACAACAATGTCATTTTTCAAATTATACATGAATAAATAAACATTTTTAAGGTAAAATTATTTTAAACTTAGTATATTTAATTATCTATATAATTTAAATGTTTGAAACAAGTGAGGCATATTAAAAATAATTTGACAAGTTACTATCTGTATTACTCCAAAGTTGTAGAGATACTTTACGTATGAACCTCACCAAAATGAAATACCATAAGAACTAATAGATTGTACAAGTGAAATGCATGTTAATTTTTTTAGATTATAATTTAAGGTATATTTGAGCAATTTGAAAATGGAAAAAAATTTTAATCTTGTTATCAAAATGATTGATATAAATGTTCCATTTTTGGTTTTCATCAATGTACATACCCAGATATTTAATTGTAGCTACCCGATTTAATGAAATTCAGTTAGATGTAATTTTTGGGTTGATATATCAAATTAATATATTAATATATATATATTAATAAGACAGTTGTGCGAATTAACTGTAAAATAGTGAATTAGGATGAATATTTTTTATTTTTATCCCCATAAATTCGTTGATGCTCCACACATATGGCGTAATCGTGTTACTAAATAAATACCATAAATAATAATAAATAACGAACAGTTATCAGTTTAAAAGTTGAATAAATTGTTAGTCGTCCTCATAATACATCAGTTTATCAGACATTTAAATAAAATAATGTAAATGTTTTATTGGTACCTATCAAAAAACGCATATCAAAATTACATTTGAGAGATAACTTAGTACCGTCGAGAAAACTTCTCGTCCATTGCTAGCTACATTTTTATGTATACTCATAACAGCGCTTCTCAAATTTTTCAGTCGAGTGGTTTAAATTAAACTTCAAATGATGAAATATTGCTCTTACTTTTTTTTTTAGCATTATTAGTTGATTGTTAGATCAATAAAACATTTTTTAAAAAACTAATTAAATATTTAGCATACATGTATGAATACCTGATATCGGTGTATTAATATATAACCTTAAAAGATAAAACGGCATGATTTATGAGTACATTTGTAAGCTGGTGCAGATTATGAGGCACAATTGTTACACAGTAAATTTAAACTGTAAATCAAAATAAATTAGGCATACTTTACTAAAAAATATGCCTAACGTACAAGTTTTGACATTTTTCTTAAAATATGTATGTTCTGCAACAAACTCGTTTTTCATTAAATAAAATTTAATAAAAAAGCGTATTAGATAAAAAAAAATACTGATGCTCAAAATGTCATAAAATAAGATTTTTAGTTATTAAATATATGATGTATTTAACTTTATGATTTATTTTTATTTTTTTAAGTTTATATAACGTTTTTCATTCAATATTTTACTAGAAAAAAATAATAAGAAGAATTGATAATTCAGCTAAATATTTTACAAAATGTTATAAGTCAATAAAATATAGTTTTATTGTTCCGGCTACAAGTATAAGTCGTGTTTATAGTGTATATAAAACACTAGCAACAATACTAGTGGGTTGCTGGAAAATGTACATGTGAATTTAATTATTGATAAATGATAAAAAAAAAGTTTATAACAAATAACATAATTAATAACAAACATATCATTTTGTGTCACAGTATTCGCTATCATAAATTATGTGTTTCAACCAAGAGCCTTTCGGAAACTTTCAGAGAGCCGTTCGGGAACTTTGAATATGAATCGGATGCAGAAGAGACGAGGACTCTCGCCGTCGAATCCGTTCCGGTTCCGTCCAACAACATCCTGGCAACAGACTTGCGAATATCAGTGTGCAACAAGCGCAAACGCCATGAGCCGGGCGACCCACACGGGATGAAGACGCGTCCGATGGGCCGGATTGGCGTAGTGACGGACTCGGAGTCAGACGGTAAGGACACGATGATCGTCGTCGGCGTAGCTGACTCGATTACTTCAAACAATATCCTGGAAGTCGACTTGCAACGACCAATGTGCAACAAACAAAAACGCCAAGAACCGGATGATACATCGGAAAAGCGGATGCGCCTAATGGAACCTGTCGATGTGAAATTGATCGACAGTGATACTGACGTGGAACACGCGCAGACCGTGGTGTCCGATCCGCGCTCTTCGGACGGTTAACATTTATTAATTTTTTTATTTTTAAACATAACACACCGTGGCAATAGGTTTTTTTCAATTGATTTTTTTTTTTTGTTCATGGACTAACATGCAGGGGTCGGCAATAAGCAACGATTACTAAAAAACGACTTGCCTGTGGTGGACAGCGATGATATATTTCCCGGCTACTCCATGGACAAGGTAGAATTTATCGTTCTCAACATGCGCCGGAACGATCAAGACTTCGTTGTCCAGGATAAATCCGTCTGTATCGGTGACGTGAGAACCGTGTTCCAGTACAGGTCTTGGCTGAATGACGAAGCAATCTCCAGCTACATGCAGTTGATTGGAGACCGGGATCCCTGCAAAGTCTATGCTTTTAACACGTACTTCTACCCGATGCTATCGTAAGTCGATGTGCACATTTTCGTTTAATTTTAGTTCTTAAGCTTTTTCTTTCATTCATACCCACCGAGAATGTGTTTAAAAATTATCTGTCAGTTTTTTTTTTGTCAAGATAATTTTCAAGATACTACAACTCGAACTGATAAAAAAAAAAAATTAAATAATTGTAATTTTATTGAAATTAACATTCATTTTTTATTTTCCTTTTTTTTTTTATTCGTTTTATTCGTTATATTCTATTATATTCATAATGTATTGATTGGGTAACTCGTGTTTTTCGCAGCCTTTTTGATTATCATGCCATTATAAGTTGGGGATTTCCTAAGGACATTTTCGATTACGATAGAGTCCTGATACCTGTCCATGAGAAGTCTCACTGGAGTCTGGTGTGTGTCCAATTCAACGAAAAAACAATTAAATACTACGACAGCTTGGGTAAGACAAATATGCAGTGTTTAAAACTAGTTCTAGACTACTTGAAGATGGAAAGTCGGAAAATGATTAGTAATGAATTCAATAGCAACGAGTGGCAGCTATTGCACGCCGAGGATTGCCCGAAACAATTAAATTTTGACGATTGTGGAGTTTTTACCTGTGTAAACGCGGAATACTTGGCCAGAGGAGTGAAACTGAATTTTAACCAGAGCGATATGCCTAAGTTCAGGCATAGAATATGCTATGAAATACTGACGGATCGCTTATTGTTCGGTCTGGACGATTCATGTCCCCGGTCCCACGGCTGAAATGTATTTTTATTTATTTATTTCAACAATTTTTGTGTGAATTAGTAATGTTTTAGATTGGAATTTGATACCTATTATCTACAAGAAAATGATTTTCTTGAGAGTAGGGAGTTTATTTGACTAAAAAGTATTTGTTACATTTATATATAAACTATGTTAATATACTAATATAATACAATGACAAAATATGTTTAATCGAGCTATTACTATAGTTATAATAATAAATAAGCTTAATAACATATAGATAATAATCCATACAATAATAATAATAATAGAGACATTAGTCAAATAGTTGCATGTATAGAGTTTTTTGCATTAATTTAAATTTCAGGTTATTATCCATTAATTTAATGTTTACGGGAAGTTGATTAAATAATCTTAGGGCTCTGATCATATAATAATTCTGGATTAATGTTGTATTTGGTTTGTTATAATTTAAACTACCACCATTTTTATCCTTTAATTTATAGACATTATGCAAATTAAATTATTTATTTTTATTTTTATTTGTAAATTTTTATGATGCTTTATTGTCAGTCCATTCGAATTGCGTCCATAATTTATAATTGGCCCAATTAATTTGGTGAGTAAGTGCTTTATGACATAATCTGGTATATATATTCGTATATTTAGAATCAATAAATGGCGAAAACTTTTTTTTTTTTTTAGTGATTTTTAGTGATCATTAGCATTATTTCACTATCTTTAAAATGTAAATATTCTAATTTAGTTGTCATTGTATTATTATAATTCTTATCATTGTAATTTTTAGTTATATTATCGGCTTTGGCCGCTTTATAATCAGTTTGTACTTGAGTAACAATTTTTTCTCCTGCACCTACAAAGTAGTTTTTGAATATTTTGGCACATTTTGTGTGTTCATTGATTAATTTATTACCATGGGTTGTTTGTGAATTTGTTTTATTATTTTTATAATTTTTATTGATTATCTCTCCAAATATATTCTAAAGCTGTTTTGTATTGCTGTAGTTTTTATTAATTTTTATATTCATAATTTTTCCTTATAGAACTTATTTTTCACTCTATAAATATCTGAATTTATATGTCACTGGTATAGGTAATACTAATGTAATATAAACGTAATACGATGCTATACTATTCTCGTCTGATATACGAGATGAATAATGTTATGATTTTTATCTTAACAGCCCACTGTGCGTGTTTTATTAAATAATAATGTTTTGAAAATGTAAAAGAAATTTCGTAGGAAAGTCGTACAAGAAAATAAATATAATTACAGTATCATATTGACAATATCATCTAAACATGCATAGATCGTCTACGATAATCAATAATTTACATAATGAATACATTTTGTGGCATTAATGGTTGCCACTATAATGTGAATTTAAAATTCTGTCCTGGCGGTCGATTTATAAAATTTCGTAAAATGCGTTGAACTCTAAAAAATGAATAAAATATTATATGATAATACATGCACTTAATTTACATACTTTTAATAATCAACATGTACATCAGTTCATAGCTCGACTTTATTTTAATATATTTACGTAGTAAAAACAAGTACAAGTACAATAATAATAACTATGAAATCATCATGTTTCATCGGAAACCAGTCACTTTTATTTGATATATATCATATCAATATATTGGACAAATAACATACCTACCAGTCGTTTTTATTTAGATAATAAATAAATAATAAAAACCCCTCTATCAATGAACGGAGTTTTCTGTTTATTTTTTTTCCAATAACATATGAATGGTAGGATTAATTACAATAAATTGAATTAATAATTCAATATCTCAATTTCGATTTGATTTTAAAATAATTGTAACTAATTATTATTTCGAGATTCCGATGAATATTTTTCAATACGTACTTAATGCAGTAGCTCAAAATGTATTGTATATTTTTTTGTATTTTGTATTACAGCGAAGTTTTCATATGCACAAAAATAAAGGCATTGCCTTTTTCAGAGTTTAATCCCATTTTCTAATAATTTAACTGTGATAACGCCTCAAATAATGAGAGTCGTCTATAATATAAATACTTGTCAATAAATATTTTTCCGAAACCGTTTATTGAAATACAGAATATTATGTACTCAAATAATATAATCACACTCGTAATCGTTTATAATCGTCTGAAAATGGCTCTTTCCTACTAATTTTATATCATTCCTATTTTTGTTGTTGTTCAATTTTTAAGTATTATTATTTTTATTATTTTTATTAAAATGTATTTCCTATTCTTTACTTGAATTAAAATACATTATCAATTGTATTCAAAGTGCACCGCCAGTTATTTATTATTAATAAATAAATAAATAAATAAATTATGTGCCAAATATTATTATACAACATACTGATCTTTATCTCCAGTGTTCAGAATTGTAAACAGCTTATTGTATAAGATTTAAACACTGTTTGAATATCACAATTCTCAACTGGAAATATTTTTATTTTTATTAATATAGATAAATATTTGTTCTAAATATTTTTTGAACTTATTCCGAGTAATGGTGGCCAAAAATTTTCTACATAAGGTATACTTCGAAGTACGAAAATTTATTTTTTCATCTCGGCGATTCAAAACTGTTTCGATATAGGTTTATTAATCAAACTATCTGTTAAATTACCGATAAATGCAGTTATTTTAATATTAAATAAATTAAACTATGATGCACATAAACTAATTATACATAATTTTGTTGCGTATGTCAAATTTTTTTTCCCGAACACTCGATATGTCGAAACTTTTATCATTCCAATTATTAATTATTCTACCTCGTACTATCGAGATCGTATATTCTGATGCTCATATATATTACTACCTTATTTAAGAATTTTATCCGGTGACTCTGTCACTCATTAGTTATAAGTTAATAGACAATAATTTATTTTCCACAGTTCGAAACAAATATGCGGTTGTCGCATGTAATACATGAATTTTTACTGTTAAATATAAAATATAAGTTTAATAAAAAAAAAATATATATATAAAGTAAATAATATAAAATAAATCAATGAACGAATAGTACATTTCATAAATTTGTAATGTCAATTATAATAATATATGATAAATATTTACTGGTATACATAAATTAATAAATTAATTCGAACCTATAATTTGGCGCGTATCTTTAAAATATCAGAAGTGCATATTTTTTCATATTAAAAAAAAAAAAAATGTTTATTTTATTATTTATAATAGTGCACAAACCCTAGCTCCGTTTATTACACTTGTACACAGAATATTATTATAGTCAAAATAATCATAATTTTAGTGATATGTAAAAATTCCCCAAAATCGAACGAATGCATGGTAAAATGGTGAAAATTTTATAATTTTTCCATAAATATATAACACGGAAATTCCACTACAGATTTGTATTGAATATTTTTATCCCACATGAAGTGTATTTTTACGTTTAAATTATTAGTGTAACACGTTGCCTTTAAACCGTATACGAAACACGATATTCTCCAGCATCGTCCAAAACATATTCATATTATTGCTTATAAGCGTTGAATATTACATGCGTAAACTGTGGGAGAGGAGTATAAACTGCCATCCCCCACCTTTAAAAATGTAACAAAGTAATGCCTCTCTTGGTGTTTTGTAAATTAATTCGAAAAATATTATGAAAAAAAAAAAAAATGAATGGATTAATCAAAATGTATTTGTTCGTTGGAATTTGTCATCATAATACATCATGATGCAGATTAAGTATATCTAGTGTATAAATGTACGGTATATCAACATTAAATAAAGTTTGCCCCACTCTCAATAAAAATTTTCCAATTTATGCCCATGTTGAGTAGTGTACATTTTACAACCTATGTGCGTACGTAAGAGTACGATTGTACTCCAATTGTCGACCACCAGCGTGACAACATAATTCATTGTGTTTGATTAGTTTATTACACTTGTTACGTATTATAGTAATAATGTTCACATGGAAGTGTTTGAAAAAGAGGGCCGAGACGAACACCTGCATTGGACGTGGGCACATGTCCTCGATCCACAATTATGTTACATATTAAATGGGGTCGGTTCGCTTGCGGGTTCACGTTAGGTACGTTGTTGAGTTCAATAATAATAACTCTTACAAAAAACGTTTAACAACCATTCGGGTACATTTTATGTAAAAAAAAAAAAAAATAATGAAAATATTATCAACTATTTATTTATCATTGAAATATTGTGTTTTACACTTAATCTTGTGAATTATGACTGATCATGAAATCTGATATTATAATATACGACGGTCGCTTAAATATAAACTCAAAAATGCGTAATTTTTAAAAATTAGTAGACAAAAATTATTCGCTAGTATTCTACATACACGGCATATATGCGTAAAACGTATTATGTTCTAAATGTTTGTAAAAAAAACTTATTATGATAATATAATAGCTACAATGAACTACAAAATCACAAATCATATATAATTGAATCAATCCAAGAACAATATACGAAATCGAGAAAACCATTTTGATCGGGACTAATACACAACAACAATAAATAAAAAATTTAAACTACGTTTATTTAATAATTTACAAATTATAATTTATTGATTGTACCTACACGTTTTGTAAAGATAGGGGCCAAAAGTATCGTAGACACCCCTCGAAATATAGGTCTGCGCACTTCAATGAGGGTGCTTGTAATGAACGCGTGACTTATGGTACATTGTCTACATTTCGAAAACATTATTTTCAAGAAATGCTCATGGAAAATCGGGTAAACACATCTTGGGTCGCATAGGTCGCACACAAACGTCGAGAACCGACGGACAAACGTTTGTGAGTTATATGCGGTAGAGCTTTGATAATGTGACACATAGCGTTTTTCGGATTACCAAAAACACGCCGAATCATCGATTAAACTAGGTTAGGTATTCGAACAGAAATCGGGTAAAATTAAAGTAATTTATTTCCATTACACTTTCATTGAGTCACGTGAACGTGTTCGCGTACAGTTTTATAATTTTTGTTGAAGTTCAAACGATACTGACGTTGTCAACGTTAGTCGTCCGTTGGCAAATAACTCATCAAGACGAAAACCCAATAACAAAAACGTGTAGCTGGTCGTGTAATAAGAATACGCCGGCGGACCGGCGAGAATCCACTGTAACGATATTGGTTATAGTAATGTGTTCGGGCCGTGTGCGACGGTGACCCGGCCGGGGTGTATCTGCGAAGGGCGAAAATGTATTGATCTCGTCCACCCACCTGCAGAGCGGGATACACGTTCGCCACCCAGCGATGCTGTCGTTCGCACGCGTGTAGCATCTGACGCCGATCGATACAGCTCGCGCCAGGCCCCCGGCAACTGTTTAAACGTTTTATTTCTCTCTCACCCTGTTCTCGCATAACGTTGTGACTACAGTCATCATTTTGTGTCTCCGCATCGGTCTAAAGTTTAGAGTTCCAACAATAATAGCATCTACTTTATTATTATTTCTTTTCAGAATCAGTGACGGAAAAATTAAAAATTCACCGTATTGGTTTCGTATCAATGACACATAACATTATTAACGTTATATTCACAATGATCGATAGTATGACGTTAAAATTAAGGTGGTCAATCTTTAAAGTTCACTTAAACGTTTTTTAATTGTGTGTGAAAACACGAGATTAATGTAAAAAATATTTACAAATTTGATTTCGACTGCTTGCAGATGTATAAATTATGTACTTTATAATAATATAATAAAATAAATCAAAAATTATTAAAATATCAAAATAAATAAAATGTATTAGGTACCTGGAGTGTTACGATATAAGTATTATTTCTTGACTTTATGATTTGTCTGACGATGAATTTTTGATTCAAAATCGGTCGTAAAATACATATGTCTAAGATACATATGTTATCTTAATACTCCAGGATACACATTATATTTATTTTTTTCTACATTTTATACATAAAAACTGTTTATTTTTAGTTGTAATTTATCTGAATCTAAAATATTATATAGTTGTTAACTTTTATTTAATCAATTAAATTAAACGTTAAGCAATGAAGCCAGTTGAATGAATAGTACATTATATTATATGATGTAAACTTAAATATTAACCTTTCAAACATTTAAATTTTATGTAGATCTGGAGCACGTTTTGATGTCAATATCAAAGTTATATAAATTAAAAGTAAATAAATATTTTATAAAATGTCTATTATTTTGTCTACGTGGTATAAATCAAATTTGTAGCTAACATAGGTTCGGTTTAGATCACGAGATAAAAAGATCATATGTCCACAGAATTGGATTCAACCCGAAATAATAATATCATATCTTAAGAGAATTTTGAATTAAAGGATTATCTTTGTCCGTCTAACGAATTGCAGAGCAAAAGTACGATACGTATATATATATATATATATATATATATATATGTATAAATCGAAAATATTATGGCGTTGATGTTTTATTTAGATTTTAAGATCAAATAATATCATAAAATTTGAAAACAACAATTTGTCACAAAAGGTACACATGACACATTACTTTTATTAGTTGTATTATTATTTATTAATTTATTTGTTTTCAAACCAACGATTAAAACTATATTATTAAAAAAAAATAAAACTAATTAAATATTAAATATTATGAAAAATATAACAAATATTGGTAAAATATTGTCTGACAAAATAGCTACGATTGTTTAATATCTGACACATCTGCTCTTATTATTATTATGTTTTCTTATTATTCGGTATCGCATCGGCACGAGAGCAACTCATTGTTACGAATCACTAAGCAATACCAAACTTCGAATTTATAAACAATTACGGTTGTATCATTTGCGTATTATCAGTAAATTATGGTAGCGATTTTTTCGTACCACGATTAGAAGCGAATAAAACATTTCCAAAAATTAATAAAAACAAAACGTACTTATAATTATTATTTAAACGAATAGTTTATGTATATAAATAAATAAATGCTTAGCGTGGAGTATTATTATATGTGTACGACCGGTTACGAATTAAAAATTCAACTTCAGGTATGTTCAAAGTCAATAAAATAAGAATTACTGACAAATCGAATCCTATAAACACATATTTTAACATCAAATGGTAATTGTTTTATTCAAATATGTAATTGAAAAACTTCAGTAATCGCTAACGTCATACGACCACTTTTGTGATACGATATAAATACTCAAGTAATTAATTTAATTAATTTAATTTATAATTACTTTTAGAGATATAAACAGAACTGTTTGAATAATATTTCATATGTTACCGATACACTTGGGTGGAGTATCAACGTACGAACGTTGCAAACCATCACGTAATTAATATTTTCGTAATTTGATCCAAAACTAATTCGGATTTTTCGTTACATAAAAAGTGAAAATATTTTTTGTTCGTAAAAAAAAAAAAAATTCAAAACACTGATGAGATATTGTATTGTTCTGTCGTTGTTACTCAAGTCTAAACAAACAATTGATGTATTTTACTGACATGAAAACATGAAATGTGTATTTTATATAAAAAGTATACGAAATTGTGGCAAGAATTTATTTTTCATTTACTTGATGGCCATAAAATTGATTAATTTTCTAAAACATATCTAAACGTACAATAACGTGTATTTTTGTCACGGGAATGATTGATGAAATTAAATAAAAATCATTGTTGTACGGATAAATTATTATTATTTTCGCGAAGGATTAAAAAAGAAGAATAAAATCATCTATATGTTGAGTAAATAACGTACAAAACGATCAAATTTAAGCAATGACCACGCATTAGTATACATATGGTACATTTACGCACCGTAATATTGACGCGTTTTAAATTTTGACCTAACCTGTGTGAAGAATATAAACAATATTATGAGTTACATTACTCTAAAATCTATTATATTAAGTGTAGTTCATGTATATTATAATATTTGTTATTGTTTTTGTATGAAAATGCGACCCTTTTTTTGATAAATATCATCGAATACTGATTAGTATCACGATGGGGAATTATCTCTACACGTAGACGATGAATCGTTTTTTCGGTTATTATTATAATTTTAATAGTTGTTTTATGAAACAATAATCGTTGCATTATTTCAAGGAAATATAAATTGATTTGTTGTGTCAACATTCAATTTACAAAATTCAAAACACCAATTTAGAATACATTAAACGTTTACATAAGTCTAACATAAATGTTGATTATCTTACGCAATATACGAAGTATATATTTCGTTTTAAAAAAACACAATTCATAAAAAAAAAAAAAATAATGAAATAAAACCGTAACCATTATCAATTTGAGTTGAAGAAAGAAACAATTTAAGTTGAACAGCTCGATTATGATTCGTATGTGTTTTGTATGTCTTGCATAACAAATAAATAAATAACGAGTAGTTTATTATAAATTTATAATAATTATTCATATTACTGTAAATATTTTATTTTCTATTAACAATTTTTGTTGGCTAAAGAATTATTGTTTTTAATGTGATGAAAATATTATTAAATAATAATATAAATTTAATTAAATTTAAAATCTGATAGAAGATGTAGTGTGGTGCATTTGAATAGCTTTTTAGATATTTAATATTTCGTTTTTCTCCACTCATAAGAAAAATCTAAAGAAAATTACTTTATCTAGAGAAAATTTGTATGGCTTTTCTTTTTTTTTTCTACAAAGAAACTTAAGAACTGAAAGTATTTGTTGTAAACGTATAATCAACGATAATAATTTAAGTTTAGAATTTCGATAAAAAATTTAAAAGTATGAAAAAAATCGCCTGCAATGTTCAATTTTTAATATATTATGTAGTACAAAACTCTTCAAACGAGCCATGGTTTTTTGAAAAAGCGTTTGAAATTATAAAAAAAATAATAGAACTATAAAGAGGAATAAAAACTCTTTTAATCTGTGCATGTAATTAGAATCTACTAAAAAAAAAAAAAAAAAAACGATATCGGTTTAAAATGTTTGTTTGATATATTTTATAAAAATATATTGCGTCAATATTAAAAAATAAATAACGTCATACACACAGGATGTTTCGTAAACGAGCGACGAAACTATGGTAACGAAGTATACTCAGTCTAGTGGCTCAGAGACTAAATTTTTAAAAAAAAAAATCCTCCCCTCAAATAAAAAAAATCCCGTATCACATACGGTGGTGGTGGGGGGGGGGGGGGGGGGGGAATTCGAAAAATTCTGTCACTGATTGCACCGTATTTAGAGTAATCCCGTAGTCCCGTCGTCAATTCCAGAAACATCCCGTGCGTACGGTTTTATTACGTGTTGCGCAACGGCATACGAGAGGAGAGATTATTGGCAACCCTAGCCAGCGGTCGTACGCGAACCTCGCGGGCGGTCCCTGCTCACTCTTCTCGACTTGAGCACGTCGTTCTCATACGTTTCCACGACCGTTATACCGGCCTCTGTGGTCGTCCGAACAGTCGTGCTGCACCCGTTCATGATGTTGGTGGTTATCGATACTTTTTTAACGTAATCGCCGGTCAGACTTCGGGCGCATTCGAACAGGTCGTCGTAACTGGAGATCAAATGCTCCAACAGTTTAGACTGTTGTTCGTTGTACGTCGTCGTCCAACCGGTATACCGATCGTCGTGAAACAATGGTCCGAACGGACTGTTGGACCGCGGTCGGTGATAACTAGCATCTGAGTAACCACATGAAAATCGCGAACAACAAATGGATAAAAATAATGATCGCGAAATGTTTTTCATCAACAGCGAAAACAATAATACCGTGCGAATCATGTTCTGCGCATGAACTCAGTAGACGTTATTGATTAGCTTAGGCCTAAGGCCGTATTAGTGTTATATATATATATATATATAACCTAACCTAACAACCTAACCAATATATATATATATATTTATGTATAAATGTTTCGATTTGAAACGAATAATTTCAATGCGCAAAATATTATTCGTATTATGCGTATTATTGTAATAATAATAAGTCATACGGAAAGAGAAAAGGAATCTAAACATTTTATATTTTTTAGAAATAGAGTTATTAGTGTCGAAGAATATATATAGGGATATTTGTTTAGTCTAATTATTTGATTAGACCCGAAACATTCCCTATATTTTGACTTATTACCTGATGCTGTATTCCAGTGCTGCGGTTCCGTGAACTCGTTGCAGCAATTATAATATGGCTGATAGCCTTGGCACCGTCTCCAGTTATACCTACGGGCGTGATCATTCAAATTGTCCCTGTGACATTGATTGTTGTAGACCTTCCGTTTTTTGTCGTCCGACAGAACTCCGTAAGCATCCGATATTTCTTTGAATTTTCTGTTCGCTTGTTCTTGGTCCCCGGGATTCTTGTCCGGATGCCATTTCAACGCCAACGCCCTGTACGCTTTTCTTATATCATTTATGGATGCGTTCGACGTTATTCCCAGAGTGCGATAATGATTTTTGGGCATTTTGAATTTCCCGTTGTCTTTCAAAATGTATAGGCAGGGAAATGTTTTCTCGGCGTACTCGGTGACTTTGGAATCTCGCAAATTCTAAACAAATATCTATAGGTAATGGATTTCTATAGGAACCATGGGGTGCTGTTATCGACAAATATTTTTTATTTTTTGGAAATAAAATAAACGACAATGAAATAATACGTACGACACAAATATATTTTTATTATTCGTTATGCATTTTATGAATGTACAATGTAATCAAATATTTGTAATGTCATATTGTTGAATGTTACAAATCCAATTTGTTTAAATTAGATATAAAATAAATGTTTATAGTTAATTGTAAACGTATGGCGAATGAATACATTTCAAGCGATCAATAAAAATATTAACTTAACAATAAAAAAATTACATACTGAATGTTTTATATTTTGTTAACAAGTTGAAGTATTTAAGAATACAATTTAATAAAATTCAACGAAATATTTTTACCAGACTGATATGGTATTATATAGATATGTTTAATCGAGTATCAATGTTCTGATAGGTGGCGATATATGTGTTTAGATGTATTCTATTTGTCAGAAAATACACTTATTAATTTTATATTTTGCAATGTCTTTCTCAATGGAAATAAAAAAAGAATACAATGACTTTTTGTGAAATAAAAATAGTTTAATATGTTAATATTTACCTTTCAAATTTAATTTTTAGACTTTCATATGGTATTAATGATAAACGAATTTGATCATAGATAATTTTCAGCGATGTTCATTATTGTCAAGAATACTCCGAAAAATCTTTCGTTTACAGTAATAGTAATTTAAGCAATTAAAAATGATAATTACTCGTATTTTGAAGTACTTGAAATTATTGAAACATTATTTGAAACATGAATTCGGAAATTAATTTATCATTCAATAAATATATATTTTTCTGTAAATTATAATAGGCGTTTAGTGAACTTCATCAATAAATATTCTTGTGTTACAATTAAAATAAGTTAGAAAAGTTTTTATATTATGTTCACATATTATATATTATATTATATATATATAATATATTATATTATTATATAATATTATATTATATTATATATAATATATAATATATAATTATATATACTATATAATAATAATCACATATTATATTATAGTTCTACCTGAGTATAATTTCTAATTTTTTAATAGTTATCTTCCACGGATAACCAAAAAAATGTAAAGTCTGTTGGATGGATTTATAGATACATTTTAATACATTAATTTTACGTACATCATAAAAAAAATTTATATATTGGTGTCATAGTATACTTTATTTGTTAGATAATAATTATCATGCAATCGATAATATAATATGATTACAATATTCTACTCTAATACTAGTTTCTAATTAATGTGATTTAATTATTTACGAAATACATTTTATTAAACACTACTTATTTACTTAATCAATTGTTCACATTTAAATTCTACGCTTTATAGCACTATTATTTTTAATTTTCTACAGTATACTTATAATATACTACTAACATTTGAAGTATAAGTAATGATTCTATTCAGTATTATATGGTCTCATTGATATTGAATATATAATATTACAGAGAAGAAAATAGTATATGGTTCGGCAAACAGTTCAAATATAATAATATTACAATTTTCGAACATTTTAATGTGTATAATTATGATAAATTATTTTAATGTAATTTTAAAATACTCATGTTTTTGAAATGTGTCTGTAATTCTTATATATTAGCATAAGGCTCTAGTGATGTATCACGAATCACTCTAGCAAGTTTCAAAGTTACTTCACATAATTGTTTTGGGGGGAAAAGCAAAGGGAATGGCAATTTTTGCTTATCAAAGTATGGTTTGAAGGCTTGTAATTTATGGAAATCCGTAATTTCTAAAATTATTTCGTTGGTCTGTAAAAATAAATGATTATATTATAATATAATATTTTTTACTATATATTTTAAAAACAAAAAAAGTATTACATGAGGTCGATGCAAATCCCAAAACGCCTTTTGTTGTTGAATTATCAATTGTCTTTGTTCTGTTCCGTAATGTGCCGTAAAATTGATATCATGTATGGCTTCTGCCTGTATATTATCCCAAACAGTCTCAAAGCATTTTTTAAGTCTTTCGTAGTGGAATAATTCAAGTTGATTAAGAGGGTTAAATACATCATATTCACTGTAAATCTTTCTTCTAACCAGGTATGCCGCTGAAAAATATTTCATAATATTCCATTAGTAATAGTTTATATACAAAACGCTAATTGTTCAACAAGTCACACGCAATGCCTCATTAAATTCATGTGCTTTTGAAAAAATGAACTTCGAACTATTAACTGTTTTTCTAAATTGCAACACCAACGCAATAATCGTTTCACTTTCTAGAGCAAACACTTTTCTTAAAATGACTGTGTATAAATATTTAATAGCCAATCAATAGTCAGTAATTAATTAATATTTAAAGTTTAAATAGGCCGAGCGTAGTGGATCACCGTTTTTCGAGATATTTCTTGACGCTCCACCCATCAACACCTTGAATGCTTATTTCTGTGTAACGAATATGTTCGTGAAATAAACGCTACATGATATTTATGAAAAAATTGTAATTTACCATCTACGAATAAATTATCTATATATCTACATAGACACCACTCGATAAATATAGTATTTATTGTTTTATACTTTACCATAATCGTATTCATTTCCGTCAGCTATAGCAGATTTCCAATAATACGGACTCTGTACAAAAATATTACTATTATTATTACTAGTACTATTAGTATACAATAAAACATAACTTTAAATATATTTATACGATTTTTGTTGTTGTTGTGATTGATTTATTTAAAAATTTTTATGATATAGAATGTTACAAAATAATAATAGCATTTTTACTAAACACCATATTTTGTAAAATAATACAATTATCCAAACGCAAAATACGTTAATATTATCATTAAACTATTTTATCATTGAATATTATATACGTGTATGTTCCAAGTTCTAAATACAGACTATATATAAGACTAGTATTTGCAACCATTATAAACCTAAATATAACCGTGATAATTTCGAAACAATCAAAAGATTTTTTTCTTCGATAACGGTTCACCCTCGATTAAAAAAAACTTTTCTGAAATTTATCACTAATACTAAGTGCTCAGAAAAAAATCACGAATTAACCATGTACATTACAAAATTTACATTAGTTACAAGGTCAAATCATTTTTAAAAATTTGTCATCAGAATGTTGAACAAAAAAAAATTAAAATATAAATGTTGATACTAATTTGCATACAAGTATAATTACCTGGAAACGGTAATAGCGCTTGTCGAAATATATTCTCATTGAAGGGTCACCAACCGGATACAAGAAGCCCAATGCGGAACACAGATTCGCAAAGTATATAGCATCCTCTAAATTAATATCAAAAGAAAATAATATTTAGTTTTTTCTTGTAACGCGTAAGTTATATACACGTAATATTATATTTGTTTTAAGTTATTATTATTTTTAATACCTTGGTTGACTCGCATGTTTTTCATTATCCACGATATCAAAGCGATTCCTAAAAACATAGTTTAATTATATATTGAGTTACGGGTAGGTATAGGAGATGATCAAGGATAATTACAAAGATCTACGAAAAAAATTGAAACAATATTGTACATTTAAATAAGTTACAAAATATTCTACCTACATCTATTAAACGGGAAAACATAAACATATTTACTATATTTTTTATTCTTATTATATTTTAAACGGGATCTGTCTTCACGAGAAACATCACAGTATTTAATAATAATTTACTTTATAATGTTAAACATCGTTTACCGATGATTACCGACAAACACGCTATCAAGAATTCATTACAAGTAAACATATTTCGTTACGGTGTGTGGGTCAATTTGCTACCTAAAACAGTTGACCTCTAATATTTCACTGAATCTCCGCCTACGTGCAGCCGAACGTAAACCGAACGTGGCGCACGTTAAACTTACCGTTGAATACGGACGAGGTACCTTTCCTATTGCGCATGACGGAGTGCATAGGAACGCCGGTTTTGGCTTTCATCATGCGATATATTACTTTTTCTATCTGAAACGAAATACAAACAAGGGTCATGTAAGGGTAATGGTGTTAAACTTGTCCGTCGAAGTCAAATGTCTACGCCAATAGCGCTACTTAACCTGGGATGAATGTGGGTAAAAAAAAAGCGATGACAGAGATTTAAGTAAAAAAAAAAAAAAAAAATTGTTTATAATCCAAACGGGTTATAAAATGTGTAATAAGGGGAGGTAGAAGGGGAAGACTATAATAATGAAAAAATAGTCGGAAAATGGTTTTCTCACCGAATCGTAAACAAGCTGGCGTGATCTAGATCTTCCGTACTGATCGATGAGCGGGAAGACCGTAGGTACTTTTTGGTATTCATGAATATACGATATGCATCCCGTAAAGGGATTGACCACTTGTGTGAAAATTATATCTTCGTTTTCGTCGAAGTAGTCGCTATCTTCGACACAGTCCTTGTCTTCAGTGTCGCTGTCGTCGTTGCCTTTATTGTTGTCGTCGTCGTTGCCTTTATTGTTGTCGTCATCGTCGCCTTTGTCGGCCGGTTCATCATCGATTAGCTTGTTCATTATGTCCTGAAAAGCGGTTATTATTTGCTGCTTGATTTCTTCGGTCATCTGTGGTTTGCCATTGCGTTTGACCGAATCATCATTTTTAAATATGTCATCTAAGTTGATTACTATTTGCGGCGGGTCGTCGTCGTCACCGTCCGTGGATTTGGGCCAACGCAACCTAGAACAGGGATCGAGGTTCGTGAGCGCAAGAACGACCGATAACGATCAAATAACGATTACGTACTTTTTGCCGATGCAGGCCATTGTCAATTTGATCGTTTCGAAAAACGGTTTTTGCATGTTGATGCTCGGTTGATGTCCGCAGGTAGCGATGCGAATATCTGACGTGCACGAGAGCTGCGTGCGT